TGAATTACACCAACGTCATCTATCGATAAAAACATCGATTCGATTAATTAACAGCAGCTTTTCGCACTGTGACAGTGCCGATAGAAAACAGCAACTTTTTGGCACTGCGGCAGTGCCGATAGAAAACGGCAGCTTTTTGGCACTGCGGCAGTGCCGATAGAAAACAGCAGCTTTTTTTGGCACTGCGGCAGTGCCGATAGCCACTGCCTACATCAATTCAATATTCGAAAATCTATATAAAAATATTACGATTATTATTGCAACAATTAAATTGAAAAAAACTACATTAACAACTACTTTAAAAAGAAAATGAGTGAAATTGGAGTATTAAATGTGTTATAGAAAAGTCTCATTCATTGGAGGTTATTTCAATTTGTTTGATTTTTGTTTAATACTTACAGTCATCAAGTGATGATGTTTAGCCTGTATTCAATTCAATTCAATTGAATACTAATACGCAATTGTGTATTTAGTGTCCTCGGGAATCAATATTTTGTTTCATACACAACACAGTGTGATATTGTATTAGCTTCAATGAATTCTGTTTACGATAATATTGAGGGATTGACAATCAATTCAAGGTTAGCAAGGTTACAGATCATGGCTACCGATGGCTATCATTCACATCATTGCCTAACAAATTGAATCATGCAGTGGCCTACATACAATTTTAACGCATAAGACCACTCTTCCCCCTTCATGCAATATAAGGGCTCACGCAATGGCGTAGTCAGAACATTTCTGTAGGGGTGGGGGCAGTGTGGGTCTGTGATATTATGTGGGGGGACAAGTGTTCTGATCGAAGCGAAAAACCAAATGCGGGGGGGGCCAGGGGCTGCGAAGGGCTATATATGGCTATATAAATGGCTATCTTACGTGACCTCAGCCTGTTTGCTCTCAAATAATAATGTATAAATTAAGTGAAATTTCTATGTAATTAAAGAATCAAAATGAACATATTGTTTTATAGCAGTTTATTCATTATACAGAACATTTTAAACCATGATGAAACTATTGAAATGTTGTATCTTAACACGAATTACAGTTAAATTTTAGAAACATGAATAACCAGGAATGGGATTGTGCTTTAGCCATTGTGTTGCAACAAGACAAGTGTGTAGAGAATACTGTGAGTTTGTATAAATGCCTGTGATTGCCATTATGTATAGACCTAATGTACTGTAAACTAAAACAACACAATATAGCCTAAATTTGCAAGTCAAAACTACAAACTGGTTGAGCTGAATTCGAGAAACCATCGACATGTAGAAATGTCGATGTACCTCATTAGCCACCTCACCGGGGGACCCCCGCCCTTTGGCTACGCCCTGGGCTCGCGCATAATGGAGCAAATTCTTAAGCTAGATATTAAGTTGCACCGCCTTATACATTTACACTTATATTACTCAGAAATTTCTAAAAACACGTCGGTCCAGTTAAACATGATTAGTTTTGGCGATATTTTAAGCCAAATAAACTCAAAATGAAGAGAATCCAAGTAGTTAAAAATCACCCCTCAACTGATCATCGAGCCCTCCACTTCCCCCATCAGCACCCTCCCCCATTTCAAGACTTCTAGATACGCCACTGAGCAAAGGTTAACTCCTGATACGAAATTTCACGCAAAAGTTTTTCCCGTGTTTGTTGTTTAAAAGGTGTGTTTAACATTAAAAATACTTTGGTATTTAATATTTTGTATGTCGGATACATCAAAATCACAAGTGTATTTCAAAGCATCAACAAAACAAAAACTTTTCGAAGGAGAAGCCGAAGACTCCCCCACCCCATATCTAAAATTTGTCTTCCAGCGACAAAACAAACTAGCTCTCTTCTCATGACCCCTCCCACCATGGGGTTAAACTCTGGATCCGCGCTTGACATGTATTTAAGAGAAGTGCTTAAAAAAGGTATATTTACAGTATATTTATTTATAGAAAATAATGTTGCATACTAGAATTATCAGGAATAAATTTGATAAAGGCATGTTTTTGTCTTGGCTTGGTAATTTAGTGAAGAAGTGAATATATGTCCTAGGCAAGTGTAGGCTTATAGAACCTTTAGTCTGATTTTCTGCAAAAGCTCACTATGAGTGATTGACCTACTTGATTTTGATAAAATGTAAGCCCACTATAGACACTAAATTTCAACTGAAGGAAAAAATGCATCCTAATTTCTTAATCAGTCATTATAAATTTTACGCTGAAGAGAAGAAAATAATGTAAACTATCATTAACGGTTCCTGAGTCATGCGAAAGAGAGAGTAGGTTGGCACCTTTTTCCTATTCCAAACCTAATTAAATTGTGGTCTGTCAAAAAGTGGTCAGGTTGAAACCTGACAAACCGTACCGGTGGCACGGCCCTGATTAACCGTCTTTTATCCAAATTAGTGGTCGCAAATGTTCGGGTTACTTGTACGTTTGATCAAATGGTGGGCATACTTAGTCCTAACAGTTGTTCAAATTAGGGGTGTTTGAAGAAACCATCAGGAATGTAGCATTTTTAAATAATAATGATAGGCTATGATATAAGTCTCTCGACATCTCCCAATTTCTCCTCGTTCTCCACACCTCATTATACTTATTTGTCACCTGCACAAATGTTCACTTTTTTCATGAACAATATTGACTATACCTAGTCATGCTTTTCCATAATGCCTCGTCATTTTGTTCCACCCCGTATTCGAACCCATGCTTTAATAATAACCCACCTTAAAGGCTCCGGAGGAAAAAAAATGTTCGATAATAGAACTGATTTTTCTATATAAAAAAAAAATAAGTTTCATCA